GTTTAACACAAATTGCACCCGGCCTGGATGTTACCAACATCAGTGGAATTGTTAATGATGATATGATCACATTGTGCTACCTTTTTACTACATTCTGAGTCATTGGAGTTTCACATGTAACTCCAATTCAAACTTATAGAGACTAGTTTTCCAGTCATGGAAAAGCAATGTTAATTGTCCGTGCAATGGACACTTTCTGAAAGTTTCTTTTCTTTCAAATAAAACAATTTCTGCTTGACTTGAACTTTATTGGGCCGTGGCTAAATGAATGTTTATAATTAGTGGTAAACTGTAGAGTAAGAGCAGCTGCCAAACTCTGACCATCTACCTGTAATGAACCTAAAACACTTCATCATGAACCCTGCATCATTAAAAACAGAGAAATAAACCTGGAGTCAACACCTGGGCTACAGCAGCAGCTAAATTATATGACCACCTGTGAGCAAGTGCTGTCCTGTACTGTCAAATCAGTGGGAACCCTGTCTTGGGAATATCTGTTTCTCTAGTTTTTCACTCATTGATTTCTCCTGGTCAATTGTGCTTGTAACTATGAGCTCTGTCCAAAACTATTTATTTATTTATATATTTTAGGGGATTTGTGCTGGGACTATTTCTTGGTGAACAACAGTCGGGTGCAATGCAAAACAGACTTCAGATCAATTTTGATCTTCAGTCTAATTTAGGCAGTACTGATTCTACAGGAGTGTGAGAAGCGGTTCCCAACTGCACCGGGGCGTTTCCAGACTTTGTTGACTGGGGAGGCACAAGAAGGGCACTGATATATATTTAAATACACTCGGCCATAATAACACATTCATACCACATGCAAAAAACTGCATGGGATTAGCATAAAGTGTCTGCAAAGGGAGAGAGAAAAAAGTGTTGGATCCGATATACAGTGAATTAATCACAGACTCATAACACTGTTAACTTATCATCTATCGCACATGTGTCTAACTAAAACCTCACTGAGGCAGGTGGCGTCAGGTTTAATTTTTTATTTGAGATTTATAGACCACAGCTGCTCAGGATACAAATGGGCCTCTTAGAACCTGCGTAAGCAAGGTTTTCTATGCTCAGTATCTTTTATGAATCAGATGTAAGCCCACCATCAGGAATGATCTTAAGAGCATAAATCTAAGAACACTTTTGTACATGAGACTTCTGTTCACATCTGGCAACCTGTGCTATAGCCGGAGGCACTGCACCGAATTGGGTGGATGGATACACTGTCAGTATAGTATAGTATAGTATAGTATAGTATAATAGTATAGTTCCAGCACAAAACACACCTTCTTTTATGGACTTCCTTCAAGTGCTTGGCGAGGTGCGTTATCTTGCACAAGGGATGGTAAAGGAATGTGCACACTGGCTTTAATACACGCACTGTGGAGCGAGACTGAGCTGATGAAATCTGTTGAAGACACCACTGCAGATTTTTTAATATTAATTTCTAGTTTATTTTCTCTGCATCAAATAAACACAGAAAATGGTGTCAGATGGCATATATTGGTTAATTGCCTTTTCCAGTCTCCCAGTATGGGGACATTAAGTGGTGATCAGGGGAAGTGCTGGTGTGTAAAGCCACACACACACACACACACACACACACACACACACACACACAAAAAAAAATCTGCATCTGCAAAGATTTTTCTTCTGTAGTCTGCAAAAAGGATGGACTCAGATCACGGAAAACCAGTATCATTTTTAATAATTACACATATTTACACAGATGCGATGAAGCAAAATGAAGCATATCCAACCAGCATTATGTTAGAAAAAAAATGTGTGGAGTAAGTTCATTAATTTTTAGATGGAGATTCTCTTTCCTTTAGATGTCTCAATGGCCTTCACTGCTGTGCAATGTGGTTCAAGGACTCCCAGTTCATCCATTGGTCCCTCAAGAAAATAAAAATGCCACTAATGTTTCACCTGGAGTGCAAATAGATCAACAAAACATGACATTATAAAAATGCAGAAAATGAGATGGAGTTGGGGAGGATAAAGCTTCCCCGAACGTTGAAGTGATTTCTACGATTTCGTTGTGTGTGCGCGTGTGTGTGTGTGTGTTCATTGTGGAGGGCTAATCAGTGACCGTGGAACTGCTTCATTATCTCTCCTCTCTTTATCTGTTTCCTCCCTGCTTCTAAAGGCCCTGCAGCTAATTGAGACCCTTTGACTCAGGATCAGCTAATTAATCCTATTATGTGCTTATCAAATTAGCACGGGTCAGATTTCATCAAATAAATCTCAGCCAGTGGAGAGCTTCTCAGCAGCACGGAGACGCAGAGATCAACACAGAGCTCATTTTGGAGGCGAGGAGTTCTTTCTGTCTGTGACTTTAAACTGTGCTCGTAGTTGATATTCAGATGTGTTGTGTATGTGTTTGATTCTATCCCAGCCTTTGAACAGCAAGGCTCTTAAATTTAGTTAAAAATATGTTGCTTGCTGTGTATAAAGGTGGCAGTGTATGAAGTTAAAGTTGCATGAACTAAAAACGGCCTAAAACGTTACTGTATACAAATAAACATGGCTTCTTATTGTTTGTGCACACACTGCACCAGCGGCTGGGGAAATGCAAATTAGGATCTGGTATCCCTTCGATGGATCGTAGCGCTGCGGAGATGAGCTGACAGCGTGGCAAGCTGAGCCTCCGAATCACCGCTGTGAGGGAGCTGACCACCGTGTGTTGGGCTGGCTTTACACTGAGCAACTGCAGGTTAAACTCATCAGAACATTCAAGTGACACAAACACAACTCCTGATTAGGACTGGCTATTAACTGAAATTGTAAAAAACTATTTCTTGCCAATGCTTTAGCAGGGTTTCTGCTGGGTTCAAAAGGTTAACAGCTTTAAAGACCATTATGAATGGAATTTAAGACCTATTTCACGTCTACACTGGCAAAAAAAAGTACGAAGGATATAAAGGAAAATCAGTATTGGTTCCATGACAGTTTCGTTGTTGTAGTTGGAGACTGAAAAATGCAAGTAATGTTAACTTTTTAACATTTAACATAGCAATTTTGAAGACCTGTCAAAATCATATTTAAGACATTTTAAAGCTGCAGTGACTTTTATGAAATAACTTTTTGTCATATTCACTGAAACTTTCACTACATCCTGACAGTAGAACATGAGACGGATAAACTGTGAAACAATCAGGTTCCTCTGGCTCCTCCTAGTGCTCCTAATGGGATTTGCAAGAATCCACCGGGTCCAAAAGAAAACAACTAATCAGAGAACAGGAAAGATAGTTGATCGTCACATTTGGTGCTAAATTTTACTTTCTTCAATAGTCAATGCTACGGATGCATTTTGCTCAGTCCAAAATTAGGGACAAATGGGGCACTGACCCATAGAACCCATTGTAGATATCCTGACTTCAGAGTTCATGGGACCTCATTGAAAAAATTCCATGCCTGTTTTTCCATGGCCAAAATTTAGCCTAACTTTTGAGCGTTATTTAGTATTTTGTAGCGATGGATGCGTCAGGTCATCTAGTTTCATATACCAGTATCTTCACTCTAGCTTTAAAGCTGAGCCCACTACAGCGTCTGAAAGACAGTGCGAGTGAAAGAGGGAAGGATAATGGGTCCCCCCTCTCTGGAAACGCCCCTGCTGTACAAGCACAGGACAATTTGGCAGGTAGTGTTATTAGAGCTTTTTCCCGGACCTAGGGGCATTTACCTGGCTAGTTCAGGGACCAGTACGTAGAGGGAGACACGGGTCAACCGCAAAACAGCACACCTAATGTGAAAACTGTCCACGGAACAAAAAAGGTTAAATGATGTATTTAGTTGAATGGGTCACATTTACAACTGTGTCACATAGAACAAATGTTTAAAGTAGCAGCGTTAAAATCAGAAGAGAAGCACTGTGTTACTCTCCATGTTCAAACAAAAACAAAATGTCTGACTGCGATGACCCGTCCTGATATTAAACTGCATATCTGCTCTGGAATGAACATGTCCCCTAACAGTTCTTCAGCACCACTAACAATATGCTGTCTGTCCTTTGCTCGTACACTACAATCTCCTGTGCATGTGTTTCCATTGTGTCTCTGTGTCTCTGCTGTCCATCACACAAACACGCTGGCCTGCCCGCTCAGAGGCTAGCAGAGCAATTCAGATGGATCTCTGAACACCTTCTTTAATTCCTTTTACAAATAAAACAATAAAGGGGTGCACAGTATGGTAAAAACAAATCATACTGTGATTAGTTTGACATATTATGATTGCAATATGATTCATGATTAGTAGGAGTGAGAATTTTTACATCACAATTTTCATTTTCACTGAAAAAAACAATTGGAATCAGGGTGCATGGTGGCTCGCCTAGTGGTTCGATACTGGTATCTGAATACTAGTAAAAATTGACTTTTGCAGTTGATGCAACTCAGTTTTCACAGCAATTCTCTAAAATCTTGCTGTATTTAATCAGGTCCGATCTGATGTAACTCAAATGCTTCATTTATTAAAGTTGGTCCAACTAGTCGTCTTGACCTTGCCCCAGTCTCTCCTCAATATTTAATATTACAGTCTGCTTCAGAGTCTTTAGTTTGCCAAATTACCATGATGTTCATCCCAACTTATGAAAAATGACTTGAAAATGGTTTTGTCAACTTTTTTGAGTAAAATGAAACAGTAGTGCTCCCTGTTCTCTGAAAAATCATCAGTCAGAAAACATGATCATCCAGCATCAACCCTGTCATTTCAAAGGTAAATAGTATACTATACTATACCCCCTTCCTGTCTATCTTAACCTGTCCTACCAAATAAAGGCATAGAAAGCCCCAAAAACATCTTACAATAAATCAAAAAACGATTAAAATCATGATGTGACATGTGTTGGGGTTTGTACCAAACAAACATGTTTTCGTACATCTGGAGAAACAAGCTGTGGAGTACAGTACTTCATTAGAATGCTGTTTGTCAAACATTTTACAAACTGCAGCTTCTGTGATATTGCACTTGGACAATTTCCATAATATGTTGATTAGTTGTACAGCTCTAAAACAATATTAACAATAAATCTGAATATCATTCTAGCAGGATTTTTAACTGCAAGAACAGATTATAATTTCATTTAGACTTTAACACAGGACCGAGCTGCGTTCAGGTTGCACATCGTGTAAAGCCAGCCTTGGTGCGGAGATGGAAACCCACAACGAGCCCAAAATGGAAATGGAGACACGTTTCCACAAGACAGCACAACCAACCGGTCATGTGATCTTTTCGACCGGCTGCAGATGGTCACGCAGTGGCAGCTGGTGTGGAAGAATCTGTGCTCGGCCAGCAAGCCTGTACACACTGCCGAGGCCGGAGCCAATGAACTGCTTTTGTTTTTCAGCTGAAGTCCTGATATAATGTGTTTCTGGAGCTGCCAGACTGTGATTGGCAGCGAGTATACTGTGGTCTTTATACGCCTTTATGCTGGGTTTCATCACAAATACAGGACTGTATGGATGCTGCACAACACCCATCAGTAACATTTCTGAAGGACAGTTTGGCATTGGGAAAACTCTTGGTAAGCAGGACACAATCTTCACTATTCAATATCTACACACCTAGCTTTACCCCACCAGTTGTTGCCATTTTGATGCTAGATGCTACTCTTGTCAATCTATAGACCAGTCATAAATACTCAGGACTGACACAAGCTACCGTACTCCAAAAACATTGATTCCCCTAAAAATGTGAATGGTTTGGACCAACCCTGGCAGTCTAGCCGCGGTTCCAATTGGTCATGATTGGTGAAGACAAATGTTCAATAAGAGATAAGTGCAATCAGAGACATGGTACTTAATACGATCTTTGAGGCACTTCTTAAATAAAAAGTCGTCTCCCAGTTAGAGCTCCCCCCGTTGTTTGTGAAAATCATAAAAGATAAAAGGAAAAGTTTGTGGGTACAGATGAAAATGTGCCACTTGCATTGATAAAAAGGCATCGTCAATTTTGGATTCACTACCTACATTATAATACACAATAATAACTTATTCTTTTCCTTTGTCATTGTACATTCTTGTTTCGTGTGAGGCGTTGGCCCCCCTACAAGATAGAAAAAGAAATTAAAAAAAGAAAAGAAAAAGTGCACGTAAAATTCTTCAGCAGAACTGTCATATTCATCCAGGGATGTGAGACGGGCTGAAATGTGTTCGTGGTGGCAGGCACAGAATGAAACAGCTCTCTGTTCAAATGTCAAAGCTGCACTTTGACACGAGGATGGACATTCTGAGGGGAGAAAGGAATGAAGCCAAAGGAGAAAAAGAAAAGGGGAAGACAACGTGACGACAGGGAATGTTCTTGAAGTCCAGTGTCTTTGTTTTCCTTGTAGATACCAACAAAGAAGAGTTTGGTACCCCAACAAAACAGTCTGAATCGTCCAGGAAGGAAACTCTCCCATTCTCCTGTTTGCTTTTGCCTTGTCGACAGGTCCAGAAGGTGAGTTCGGCCTCCCTGTTGTCCTTTACTCTTCCTCCTCCTCCTCCTCCTCGCCTTTCAGAGTTGGCTTGCGAGTGGTTTTTGGCTGAGACGGCAGCTTGGACAAACAGTAGGTGGGCGAAGGAGGAAGCTGGTCTCTCCTTCATACAGACTCTTCTGTGGATAGCAGCAGGGGGTTGATGTATTCAAATCCCTCAAACTCTGACTGGTCTATTCTCTTGATGACGTCCCTGAGGAAAGGGAGACAGAGGGAGGAATTAGAGGTGTTTCATCACAAACCCAGAGCACAATGCCATCTACAGCAAACCTGGATCAAGTTCTGAACAAAGGGACGGAGTTTCTCAACACTGACAGAAAGAGGATCTTATTACCGTGCTCTGAGAAAAGTGCAATATAAATCCTTTTCCATAGGTCCTGTGATGGTAAATGGACCTGTACTTGTATAGCACCTTTCTAGTCTTCTGACCACTCAAAGCGCTTTTACATTACGTGCCACATTCACCCTTTCACACACATTCACTCAGTGATGGTAAAGTCCATCGAACAGAAACTAACATTCATGCACGGCATCGGGAGCAATTTGGGGTTCAGTATCTTGCTCAAGGATACTTCGACATGTGGCTCCAGGAGCCGGGGATCAAACCCACAACCTTACGATTTAGGAACGACCCGCTCTGCCTCTGAGCCACAGCTGCCCCTGATCAGAAACTAAAGTATGTAATGAGTTGTTAATGGAGGCTAATGGAATTAGGGTGTGCAGTTTTAGAGACTTTTGCAACAGGTTGCAGTCAGTGGGAGCAGCACACTGAAAAGAGGTACAGACTTTCATTGAAGGTCAGAGGTCCGTAACAACTGGTGTATAAAATAACATTTAATCAGTTACATTTGCACCGGTACATCAATAGGTGAACTGCACTCCAGCGGTTAATGTCGCCATGACGATGTTAGGGAAATCACCTGGGCTGGATCCCAATATTCCACTATTCGGATGTTCCTGCATTGGATAGGTATTCACTTTCCAACTTTGGGATTGGGATATTTGCACACACCCCTACAGCCCTCTCTCTTACTGCACACACACTGGCTTGCACCTCCTTGCTTCCTTTCCCCCAGAATGACAGCTCATTTCTCACTTTCTCTCAGACTTCTGAATTCAGGGAAACATTCTTCTAATTTGGGAAATTTCTCTTTCTGTTTCTCTGCAGTGTGTGTGTGACTGTCAGTAGACCGTACGGGAGGAGGGGGTGAGGGGAGATTGTCCACAAGCTAATCAATCACGGATGATGCTACACTTCATAACGTATTGTTTCTATAACATGAAGTATGGGATGGGTCCAGATTGACTTGCCATTCAATGGTCTGACTGAAAGAGTGGAACTTTTCAGCCTTGATACAGATTTCAATACCTCGAGCTAGACCCAAATTATTGTGCTTGTGATCAGTATGTCATAGTAAGTTTGGAAAAGGGTGTCCTATATCTGGGGCATTACTGGCTTTTACTACCAAACTGACAGTAGAGAAACAACAGGAAGTCTACAGGATCGACTTTCAAAAAAGGTCCCCAGCTGGATTCTAACCAGTGACTTTTACCAACAACGATTACCAAGGAGTCTGCTGAACTGCATGTCTTTAGTTGAAACATAATAGAGCTCTATGAGAATTACTACAGTGGATTGAAATAAAGCAGGCATGATTGTGATCAACACAAACTAATGACCAGTGTTGGGCTACTTATTCAAAAACTGTTTTTAATTTATTACTCTTTTCAAAAGTAATTTTGTTACTGCCAAGAGTAATTAGTTACACTACTAGTTATATTACTTTTCAGCTACTCCCCACGAAATTGTTAATTGTGTCCTTTTCCCCAAAAATTCAGACTGACGATTAAAATCCAGTTTTGTTTGTTAAAATCAAAGTAATGGAATATTTCCTGCTGCTGAATGTCAGCATTTCCATCTTTCCTCCACAATTCCAAAATGAATTCAAGGATGGGATGTTGGATTCAAAATCAGTAGGCGTGACGACAAAAGTAAGGTTGTAACTAATTATTTTTTTGGGGAACTGTATTATCACTGAAATGTATTAGTAATTAGTTACACTACTAGTGACTGGGAAAGTAATATGATTAGTGTAGTATTTTTACTAGTAATGCCTTACGGCTCAACACTGCTAATGTCAACAAGTCCAAATCAGACACTCCAAATCCAAATCATTGTCCCCAAGGCACATGTTAGACGAACTGGTTATAAGTTACTGTAACAAAAACAAAACAAGTAAAGTTGGCAGCAGTGAGAGGTGGTCTGCTGAAATCAGGTAGTTTTTTCTAATTCTGGGACAGATGACTTTTCAAACAAACTTGCATTTTTTGGAGACACCACCTTGTGGGTCAATAAAAGAAATGCAGCATGCTGCAGATGTGGTGTTTGTTGCTTTATAGCCTCCTCCAGTCAGAAATCAGTGTCTCTTCCTGTCTCTACAGTGTGCTGTTTGAATGCTGTCTGTGCAGAGTTTGACTCTAGAAGGATGTTTTCACATTCATCGCTGAAAGAGGAAAGTTAAGGGGCGGGGCCTACCAGCAGGATTTGTGACATCACAAATAGTCTGGAAGTCATCCTGGTCCAGTATGTAACTTGTACAGTGTGATGTAGAAACTTGAAGCCACCAGTGAACATCCACTGACAATGGGCATCTTGTGTAAGGAAGAAAACTATGTTTTTTGTGGAAAAAACATATCAGCCACACATTATTGTTACAGCAGAATATTTGTTTATTTATTGAAATACATGTCTTGATCGGGGTCTTTACAGATTTGCGTCACAACACAACGTGAGCATTCATTAAAGCTATCAGTGTTGTAATGTTAATTTTACTTTAATGTTGACACAAACAGTTAAAAAACAGTTATATGTCCTCATGCTTTTCTGACTTACTCTCCTGTCTCTCCCACTTCACTCCCTCCCCTTCTGTCCCTTCCTCATTCTCTCCTCTTCATTCTGCATCTGGTAATGCTTTCAAACCATCCAAGCCTGGAAAAAAGGGCAACATTTACGTTGGTTGAACACACTGTTTGTTTTGGTCAACTCCCAAACCTTCTCCCTTCTCTTTTGTGTGTCCCTCTCTGTGGTCTTTTTTCTGCCTCTCTATTCTCTCTGAAACTCCAAAATAGAAAAACACCATTTTCTAAATCTAATTGTTGTATTGGTGGTTGACCTACTCCTACAGTGAGAGTACTTCACATGAGATCAGATGGAGGAAAAATATTTGCTTCATCAGTATTCTGCTCAGCAAACTGAAACAAAGACACTGTAACACTTCATTCATTTGTCCTTGCACTCTATGTGGGTGGGATCTGCAACCTGTTCCATACTGCTGGTGGCCCCTAAAGTGAGACCCCCACCCACTTGGTACACCAGGGGGAAGTCCAGTGAACGCACCTATTGTTTTAACTTCAAAGCCCTCTGCTTAGTGTCTGAAGGGAGAAAGCCTCTCAGCCTTTCCCAGTGAGAGGCCTCCTTTCTGGGCTTCAGTTGCTCATCTCACCATCTTACAACACAGTCCACGTACCACACACACCACACCACACACACACACACACACACACACACACACACACACACACACACACACACACACACACACACACACACACACACACACACACACAGATGAGTAAACAGCCTGTTGCTGCAGGAGAAGAAGCCAGCAGTGTTGCTAAGGGAGTAGATTTATTTTTACCCAGCCACTCTGAGCCCACTAGTTATGGGGTTACGCTCCATTTACCTGTTATTATGCCTTTGTAAATGGAAGCACACTCAGGAAACAAAGAAGCAGCTCGAGTTCCTCCACTGATTAGTCTGCACCATGTTCTTTCTGTCCCACTTGACATCATACTACTAGGGGATGCCATTTTACATGGTTTTAAGGATTTATTCAGAGAGAAACAGAGGAACATTAACCCTTCAGGAGGCTTCCAGCTGACCTTTTGCATATATATCTATATATCTATATATATATTTTCACATTAAAATCTTCTACCTCATTAAAACCTCCACAATCTCTGAATATACAAATGTTGTTGGCTTCTAAAGTTTTCCTGCTGGACACAAGATGTCTCCTACTTCACTGTAAAGTCCATTCTCAGTGGATGTGCACTGGTGGCTTCAAGTTTCTACATCACACTGTACAAGTTACATACTGGACCAGGATGACTTCCAGACTATTTGTGATGTCACAAATCCTGCTGGTAGGCCCCGCCCCTTAGAATCAGATGTTCAATGAGCACAGAGAAACTTTCCTCTTTCAGCAGAACATACAGCATTCCAACAACACACTGTAGAGACAGGAAGAGACACTGATTTCTGACTGGAGGGGGCTATAAAGCAACAAACACCACATCTGCAGCATGCTGCATTTCTTTTATTGACCCACAAGGTGGTGTCTCCAAAAAATCTTACTGCAAGTTTGTTTGAAAAGTCATCTGTCCCAGAATTAGAAAAAACTACCTGATTTCAGCAGACCACCTCTCACTGCTGCCAACTTTACTTGTTTTTCTTTTTGTTACAGTAACTTATAACCAGTTCGTCTAACATGTGCCTTGGGGACAATGATTTGGATTTGGAGTGTCTGATTTGGACTTGTTGACATTAGCAGTGTTGAGCAGTAAGGCATTACTAGTAAAAATACTACACTAATCATATTACTTTCCCAGTCACTAGTAGTGTAACTAATTACTAATACATTTCAGTGATAATACAGTTCCCCAAAAAAATAATTAGTTACAACCTTACTTTTGTCGTCACGCCTACTGATTTTGAATCCAACATCCCATCCTTGAATTCATTTTGGAATTGTGGAGGAAACTAGCCTCGGACACTGTAGGGACAGGAAGGGACACTGATTTCTGACTGGAGGGGGCTTTAATTAATACAAAAACAGTGGACACAAAGAAAGAGTTAAGGACGCATCTGTGCAACTTTATAATGTTTCAACTAAAAATAAAAAAATGATGACACCGATTCATTAGTGCAAATTAGTGAAAAATAAAGAGGCCTGAAAGAAAATACCCCCAAAAAATAAGGTTTCAGGTAAGTTGCTGCTGCGACTGCCAGCTCTCTTTCTACATTGAGTTTGCCTTTGATAATGAGCATCAATGATGGCCTTGTCACATGGAAGTAGGGGACAACCTGTATCTTTACATCACTGATTTGGCGTACTTGTGTAGATGCCAGGGGGTACGTGAAAATATTGTGGAGGAACTTATTAAAAATAGATTAATTACAATTGAATTAAAAACATGTATCAACATATTGAGTGTGTGAACAACACTTAGTAAGTGAGCAGAGAAGTCTAAATAGAGTAATGGAAAATAGCTAGAAGTAATAGATAAACTGTAAAAAATAGTTAGTTATAAATGTATAAATGACTGAAAAATAGATAAATAGTCAAAATAGTTAAAAGTAACAGATAAATGGTTAAAAAAGCCAAGAATAATGGATAAATAGTTAGATAAAACATTATTGATATCAAGCTTGTGCCATAAATAGTAAACAGACAGTTCAACTGTATATTATAACATTGAAATATAAACATAATCCAATAATATTCACTCTTATAGTCATCAGCGTTCAATTCAAATGAAAACATTTGGAACATTTCATCTGTGTTCATCTGACAGGACTCTGGGGGAACATATGAAAAAAAGGTTGGGAGCCAGTGCTGTAGATGAAACGCCTGAGCTGCGCTGCTCACACGGCCTGTGTGCATAATATGAATCCAGATCTAGAACTCTGGAGTCTGTGAATTGACAACAAGGGTCTATAGAGAACCTTCTGCTAAATATGCTCGATACTTACTGTTCCTGAGCTGCAGGCTGTTATTTAAAGGAAATAAATAAATAAGGGGGAAGAAAGAATATATGAGTTTATGAATGAACTGATTTCCCAAAACACAGCATATTCAGTGCTACAATATGCAACAGGTTCACTAGACAGACTAGAGCAGAATTGTGGTCCTAGCTACCATATTCAAGTCCCTGAAAACAACCACCAAGGACCAAGGCTACAGAAGAAGAAAGTATGATTCTCTGGGTACTGGCTGAGGCTGTCATTTTCTAAGACAGCTGGCACAGAAAAACTAAAGCCTCTCTCCCTCTCCCCCACCCCTCACCATTCTGGCAAGGGCCCCCAGCAATCCTGGCTTTTAATGTCGCAATGTAAATCTCTAACATGGAGGGTTTACCCTTCTCTCTCCCTACACGGCTCTCACTTCTCTTTCTTCTCGTGCCAAACCTATCACGAGTGGGAGAGAGGGGAGACTGCAGAGCTTTTTGCATCACCCCCTCCTAGCGGGAGTGGGCGACATCAGCCCCTCTCCTTGGTAACAGAGAGAAGAGAGAGGGGTGGGGAGATAAAGTGCGAGACGCAGGGAGGAGGCGTGCGTCTTCTTTTGATGTGCTGTGGTGTTTGATGCCAGGTTGATATCTCCACTACTGAACTGGCAGTGTGCTCTCCACCCTGTTCTCCCACTCATCTCCCTACCTCCTCCCCTGCCTGTATCACCCCAGCCTCTTCCACAATTGCTTCCTCTAAAGTCTGTCACGGACTCCCGTTGTCAAACCCCGTCACAAATGAGCTTCAGAGCTGTCTCACTGCCCCTTATGCTTACGCTTAGGCCCTTAATGAGCTGCGAGGCTCACCCAGACCGAGGCTGGTTTGAGAACGGCGCATAGTGAACAGCAGAGGTGTACAGCAACTACCCAGAGACATCTGTCATCGGTGCAGAGTATGATGGGAATTTAATATGGCTCCAATTAACACTGTTGCTCCATGCCCTGCCATTTCACAATGATGTAGTTATTGCTGTATGTGTTCAAAAGCCTCAAGTTGCACAAGCAGTGAAAAACCCTGATGGTGCCCATGTCAGCTACTAAGCATGGCGCCGTCAACCACTTGCTGAACTGGTGGTGATTATACCAGACACTGACATCTTGAAGGGCACCATCAGAAATGATAGGAGATATAGATGATTAACAGACATGTAGCAATAAGGCTCTCAGGGCCAGAACTGCTGTGCACCACTGTGATCTATTGTTCTCTTATGGAGAGAGCAAAGATGTTCATCTGCAGCAGCGCTCCCTTGTGTGTCCTGTGTTGCCTAGTGCTTTTCTGATCACCAAATAGCATCTGGGATAGGGCTGGGTGATATGTTAGCATTTCCAACTAAGACTAGCTTAACTGCTTTGTTAACTCATCTTAAAACACACTTCATTTAAAAAAACTTTCAATCAAAACCATCTTTGTTAGTCTTTCCACTGTTCCAACTAACTCTCACTAACTCTGGTGTCTAACAGAGTTCGATGTGCTCCAGCCCGTCCCCGCTCTGTCTTCGTCATCCCCAAAGTCAGAGTCCTAGTCGGAGCCGCTGTAACTCACCTTGTTACTGTATTCCTTGTTGTCAAACTGGTCAAATCCAGCATTCAAATCCAACCTGTGGCCCCCCACGACCTGCTGCGTGTCATCCCCTCACTCGACCCTCTTTCCTGTCTATCTTCATCCTTCACACCTACCTGCCGGACTCACAGGTCTAGTGATTAAAGATGTGACGGGATCAAATTTTAATGCTACGATTCTTGTGGCCAAAAATATCACGGTAAGCGGTATTGTCACAGTAATCAAATCTTCCTGAGATACTATTATAAGTTCTAAAATACAGAAACTTTACTTCACATCATGATTTTCATGGATTCTATAAAACTAAACAAACTGAATAGTGAACTGAACTTCAACTTGAGTGTTTTTCTCCAGTGGCCTGTCCATGATCTATCACTGATGAAAAGGATGAACATTTTTGATGCACCATACTTTTTAATAATTAAGTTCTTACAAATTGTCTTCTCTGAAGGATGATTCTGATTGCCTTGTGTGTGAAATAGAAATACATAATTCACAAGCACAAACACAGTACATTCCCATCACATATTTTTCTATGTACAGGACTGTTGGAGATAACAATCCTTTTTAAAAAAAACATCTTAGTACATGTCCTATTATTACTGATGACAAGTGGGCGTGGTACATTTTCATTTCAGCTTCTGCGTATGAGCAGTCCATTGCAAAATCAGTTCAATAAAAGTTTTGCAGGAAAAATATAAACACTGGAGCCTAAAAAATCAATCCAGCATGGATTCAAATGAAAATGTTGTCTAACATGAGCCTGGTAATATCTATTGGTAGGGCCTGCCAAAGCCTTATGGAATCTATTTTGTGACGGCACAGAGGAAAACAGGCCATGCTTGTGTTTCCGTGCTGTTGCTGCAGACAGTCTGCAGCAGCGGAGCCTGCACTGTGTCTGTTGTTGTGCCAGATCTCTGCAGCCTTTTCTCTCCAAAGCTAAAGCTTAAACAAGGGCTCCTGTCAGATCCTGAAGGCTACATGTTTGCATTAATCAAAACAATGTCCCTGATGGATAAAGACGTCAATGTTGGGAACTTGTGGGGGGGGTTTCTTTATTGAATGCAGAAGTCTTCTGGGAAGATTGCACATCATCCACTGTTTGTGGATGTAAAATCGGGTTCTTTTTAAATCTCTGTTTAAGCCATGACAGGTTCTACTGATCACTTATACCTTTACAGCTGGACACACTCATACCTGCCATGACACACACACACAGTTTAGTCCTGATGGCCACTGCTCAGCTCCAAGAAGTGTCACTGACCAACAACCTGGCTGTGGTATGATGCTCTGTTTTCATTATTGTGACATTCAAAAGTAAAACACAAATTTGAATTTTCAAGTTAGAATATATTAAATATATTATATTGAAGAAAGCAACTAAACATATATTATGAACATAAGCCAAACTGAAACTGAAAAGCATTTTTGCTAAGAAATCAGTAGATATCTTCTTCTTATTATTTTTCTGCACTGATAGCACACTTATATTGTTATTTCCAGTGGCTGTACATTTTGGTACAGAGTGATTTCAATACTGTAATAGCATTAGTGCAACTGATCACTTCATTGTCAACAGCCCTGGCAGTTTAATTTACACTACTTTGTTGTTTTGACTTAGCTGGGGGCCAACATTGTTGCACATTGCTTAGCCCCAAGTATGACCTCAGCTCTGTGCACGGTACTACATGACTCTGCGATCTGAATCAGCGGGTAATATACAGAGTGTTGAGGTTACAAGACTGTCCATTGCTGTGAGTTTTGACAGTCCATCACCACATCTGGATCCATAAAACAGAGACAGTTAACACAAGCTAGTCCCCTCCTTTTTATACCATGAAACGAACATAGCACTGAGCTCTGCTGTTTTCTGAGAGGATTACCAACCTGACATCATGATGGTCCTGCAAAATGTTGAATTATAAAAGGACAGACATCTTAAATCACCAACGCTGTGTGGACCTAATGAAGAAGGATAAAAACACCTTGCATCGATGTTCTTAAGACCGTTCACATGTTGCATGTTGTGGTGCATACTATGCTAACAATGTAGGATTTCATTTAACCCTTTCTGAGGCTTAGAGGGGGTTTCCACAAATCATAAAAATAATAATTTGAATATAGAAAAATATGTCCAAAAAAGGAAAGAAATTCCTTACGCACAAAGTAAGACTAATTAAAACTTCAGTTTGAGTCAAAAGGGCTGTCAATGGTTAGATGTCAAATTGTTTTTCTACTCTTCGGGAAGTTAGTGATTTCTATTTATTTCACTATGATATCAAAATCAACTTGCAGAGACCTAAAGGAAACAGACTCTGAAAAGTTTATTGTAGTGTATGACCTAAAGCAAATTTCTCTGAAAAGTCTCTGCAAATGGATCTTCATACAGAGTGTGTAGTTTTCACTTGCCTGACACACGTATGAAAGAGTGCTCTAAATTATTCACATAAGGTTGACTTTAATGATGTCAGTGATGTGAGTTGGAGAAGCAGAACTTACTCATCATCGGGTGTTAGCTGCACTGGTTCATTAGTAAACTGCGTGTCAAAGTTTTCGAGGCCATAGTCGTCAGAGATTTGAGGTTTGAAGGGTGGCGTCACCTCTTTCTTCTCCAGCTGAGGAAAAACAAACACATAAAAATGTATTATGTACAACTGTTTTTACTCAGTGATGGAGAGTGGAGACAATGTAGAAGAAAAACAAAGGTTTGCAAACACATCATGTGCTCTAAATTCTGCAAACTTCCTCAAAACTTTTTTTATGCAAAATTGCAGGGCAGTGATTTGCTGCACACCCCCTGCTTGATCAAAATAGAACAAAACAGAAGCATCACTAGGAACCTAAAGGATATGGAGCTGCATTCAAGTGGTTATACTCCTTTTTCATGATGTGTCAAACTAATCAGACCTGTTCAGCTCACATTTGAAAGCATTTAAATGCAAACTAAAGGAACTGTTGCTGCTTCTAGTCCTGCCAATTCTAATAATAATCTATTTTGAATTCTTATGCAAGATATTTTATAGGCTTAATGATCTCTTTAAGTGTACCCAATGAAATTGTATCAATATTTTTCTGAGGATTCATATGGGATCACTTGTTTTTAGTTTGATCAAACAACAGAAATAAATTGACATCATTGACATACTTCTGTTGGTTGAGTACTTTTATCACATATATTAGTCCTGAACTCAGCACTGATGTGCCTCAAATTAAACATTTAACTCCATTTGAAGTCAGGTGAAATTCATGTCTTGAGGAGAAATGAAGAGTGGGAATTACACTCTGCCTCTTCTAACACTTTATACTATACAATACAAATACTAAATTTATATTTGTATTTAATTTACAATATATAGCTTACGTTAAACAAGACAAACAGTTTATTCCATTCCTTATACCCCTGTGCTCGTGTTTTTGGTTTCGGAAACTCTAAAAAAGACACCGTCCTAATAACTGTTTGTATGTCAGTATCAGTTTTACCCTTCTGCATGTTGAGAAATTTGTCAGGCCTGCTGTGCCTAGTTATGGTTACTAAATTGTGACTGGACCTCACTGCTCGGGCTAGGGTTCAGTGAACTGACCCTACTAATAATTATAATGTGTGTATCCAAAGCCTGATATTGTTAGATTTATGTATCATATTACATATGTGAATATTATATGATATGATTATTCGTCTGTGCCACAGAGCTCCATTGTTGTCGTGCAACTTCTAAAAACGACTACTGCACTGGTGTTACTTCATTGCCATGAACAAACACACACTGTAGTTTATTTTGACTCAATCCGACATACACCTCCTACTGCCCCAAATACTCATTAGAGCACCAAATGTGGATTAATCTGCTGCGGAAAATTTTCCCAACAGATGGGGCTACAACTACAGTGAGCAGCTGTTTTAGGGAAGTGATTTTTTTAATGATACTATATATTTGTTAGAGTTGCCTCTCATACTGCCTAAAACGTGGGATCGGGTACGAGTTAGTTTGTGTCTGTGCACTGATCCAATACCACGTTTTAGTATCCCTGAAACGGGAACCTGCCACTTCCCAGCAGAGTCCTACTCGCTTTTTATCTTTTCTGGATGGCGAAGTCATGACCTGCCCTACTCTGACTCTCATTGGCTTACCTCGATATTCTAACCCCAACCAATCAAACCAAGCCAAACCAACAAAGGCAAGGTGTACCAGCTCATCAGAGTCAGAGTAGGACGGGTCATGTCCCTGTACTACCACTGTGCGCTGGTAACTACTATCTTAGAGCAGCAAAGAAGAGTTGATATCCGGTGGAGTAGCTAGAGCTAGCTTAATGTAAGCAATCGGACTGACTGTCAAACTAGATATTAAACAGTTTTAGAAACAGGCCGTTTTATGGCATTCATTCCCTGTGTATATTTGTTCATGTTTTACAAAGGGGTTAATACAGCGCAAAGTACAGGTATCAGATTTTTTTATTGGGAAGGAAAAAATAGTGGAACAACTCTAATATTTGTGAGATGTTTTTGAAAGATTTACATCTTCAGTAGCAACCAATGGGCTTGGAGCTGAGAGCCACAGACAGGGTTGGAAAGTCAGAAATTAGTGACAGAGACGGACTAACACATCATTGGTGAGTTTTTATAGACAAAATATATTTAAATATGTATGTATGTACATTTAAAAATACTGTGGCTCTTTTCAATACTTCAGATCTGCTACAGTAAAAGATGGGAACCTTATTGCTACATTTCTCAGTGGCAATGAAGACAGGAATGAGAAAGGGAGAGAAAAACAACAGAATGGAGAAGGTTGAAGCAGCAGAGTAATTGTGCCCGAGTGATTCAGCCACAAGAGTTTTTGTCTGGTTTGTTTCCATGGTTTCACATTGGTCCCTCATTCTGTTAAAATGTGCTCTGAGGACATTTTCTGAGAACACAATGAAGTCAGATGGGCACAGAAAGACCACAGGTACATATGTATGTTTGCTCTCCATGTTGTTTGAAGGCTGATCCAGGTGCTGTCAGAAGTAGATTTAACATAATTATATGTATATAGAGTCTTTGAGTGCTTCCTCCAGAAAAGAAATTATTGAAATAAATGTCTAGTTTTAATAATATAACAGTACAATAATAAAGATTTGTGCATTTTTTCTATAGCATGGCAAAAAACAGATGAACTCAGTCAGTGTGTGTGTGTGTTTGTGTGTGTGTAGCCTGCCCACAAACAAGAAGCTTGATGTTTGCGTGTAAACAAGTTAAATCCATTCTCTTCCTTTATGCCTGCCTGTCAAACCTCTTCTGCACTGTGTGATACTGCTGGTAGTGAAACAACAAACAGACAAAACAGACATAATAGACATTACTTGGAAAAATATTTTTGTTATCTATATATGTATAATACACCATTCGCAGTGCAAACACAAATATATTTTCCCAGTAATAACAAGATAACAATGGAGTAATAATAGGGTCATTTTAAGCTGTAATAGTTAGGTAATATATGAATAATAATGAAGTAATAATAATATGGTATCATGTTCACACTACTCATCAATACTACCATCAATAAAACTCAACACTTCCTGCAGACTTTTCAAATTAAAAGCCTACCAGGCAATGGAAGGATTATGCCCTTTGAGTTGCTTTTAATGTGAAACTTGATGGTAACTTACCTTTGATTAAAAAATGTCTGAAACAATTGAAACTAATCAGCGAATGACAACAGTAATTCTGTAAGAGAAGAGAAACTGAGAGCAGCAGAGCGCTGAGTACTATGTGACTCTGTTGTTGTGCTGATGGAATTAATGAACACTATGCTGAATATATCAAGTCAAGCGTTGGGGTTTTTTTTTTAAAAAAGATCAGAAAACAGGAAAGCGTTTTAACAAAAATGTGATATAAATTAAGGCCGTGTACAATATTCAAAAATCTAAAAGCAGAAACTGTCACCTGCCACACCTCTACACAACCCTGCGGGAAGGAGCTACCTTGCCAGATTTTGTATGAAAGGCAGCCGAAGCGCACCCTTCATCCTGTCTGCTGCGGATCTGCACATGTGTAGCTCAGCCCCACCCTCAGTCAGACGGACACACAGACCGTCGCTCTGTTGTTATAGAGTTCTCACACCCTACGCACTGCCAAAAGGCTGACGCCCAGAAACGTCCTGAACACAGCAAAACAATAAGAAAATACAGACGGGGGCGGGCTCTCTGCAGATACAGACACCAGCACACACTTCTAGTGGGTCATAAGTGATGACTGAGAGGGATTATTTTTGTGTTCGTCTATACATTGTTTTTTTAAGGAAAATCCTCAAGCCTTTAACTATACTGGTGATAGGTCAGAAAATCACTTTTGGAGTATTCACATTTAGACACTGACAAGGAGTGTGATATATGTAGTTTGCTCTTTAAGAATCTATAAAACACTCCCAGCTTGTTTGCCAGTTCCACATCTTGTTTGTTGTTTCCTGAGTGTTTGTGTGTGTGTTTAGTTCCAACAAAAGTCCTAGTTCTCCTGCTGGGTTTTGCAGCAGTTTCTGTGCTTCATTAGTGTTATGAGTCGTTCAAAGCTCTTTGTGAGAACAGCTTCAAACAAACAACACAAACCAACTCACTTTCTCTTCTTGTATCTCTTCCTATCGCTCCCTCTCCATCATATTAGCCCACCTTTCCCCAATCTCTCTCTCTCTGCTAATTTCTTTTTCAGATTTTCAGCACCTACCTACACTCCTCTGTCGGTTTCACCCCCTCACATCCTGTCTCCATCTTTCTCCTCTCCGTTTGTCTCTTTCTTACTCATTGTCAATTCTTTCATCTTTTCACATCCCTCTCCTCTCTCCTCCTACTTTCCCCAGTCTCTCTGATGTGTTGTTGGGCAGGCTGAAGCTCTGTGTGGTAGTAATGAAGCGCATTGAAGGCCAGGAATGAGCCCTGCACCTCCACTCACACACACACAGACACACACACACACACACACACACACACACACACACACACACACACGGGAAGTGCCCCTGAGGCCAGAGGGGCACATGAAAGAGGAACCTGAGCGCCAGGGCAATAAAAGGCGATCCATGGCTTCTCAGATCACAGCAGCTGTCAGACTGTGCGTGTGTGTGTGTGTGTGTGTGTGTGTGTGTGTGTGTGTGTGTGTGTGTGTGTGTGTGTGTGTGTGTGTATGTATGTGTGTGTGTGTGTGTGTAAATTCCAGTGGCACCACTGCTTTTGGGACAGGATTGGACGATGTGACAGATCAGCCTGATCTGATGCAGTCGTTAATAGACTAACTCTAGTCAACAGATGTGAAGCCGTACACATACACACTGTGAGTGGAGCTTAAACTGGTCCTCCACACAGTGTCACATCAAAGAGGTGAAGTGTCTTTAGTAGCTGTGTTTTCATCAATGTATTTTATACGCAATTTGAAGTAAGTAAGTAACTTCCTCAATTTCGGAAAAAAAAGGTTTTTGCCTTTTTTCTAAAAAGAGATGCCCTCAAAGGGAGATGGAAACACTTTCCAAATAAGTTCTGACATAGTGAACGTTTAACTCAGGTGACTGAGCAATAGTTTCATGATCTCTTCAAACCGATCTGATGGACCCTTCCTCACAATTATAGATAAAAAACAGAAATGTTT